CTATGTCAGGGAACACGAAGGTAACTTCGTCACTATGTGAGGGAACACGAAGGTAACTTCGTCACTATGTGAGGGAACACGAAGGTAACTTCGTCTCTATGTGAGGGAACACAAAGGTAACTTTGTCACTATGTGAGAGAACACGAAGGTAACTTCGTCACTATGTCAGGGAACACGAAGGTAACTTCGTCACTATGTGAGGGAACACGAAGGTAACTTCGTCACTATGTGAGAGAACACGAAGGTAACTTTGTCTCTATGTCAGGGAACACGAAGGTAACTTTGTCACTATGTGAGGGAACACGAAGGTAACTTTGTCACTATGTCAGGGAACACGAAGGTAACTTTTATCACTATGTCAGGGAACACGAAGGTAACTTCGTCACTATGTCAGGGAACACGAAGGTAACTTCATCACTATGTCAGGGAACACGAAGGTAACTTTGTCACCTATGTCAGGGGAACATGAAGGTAACTTTGTCACTATGTCAGGGAACACGAAGGTAACTTCGTCACTATGTCAGGGAACACGAAGGTAACTTCGTCACTATGTCAGGGAACACGAAGGTAACTTCGTGTTCCCTGACATAGTGACGAAGTTACCTTCGTCACTATGTCAGAGAACACGAAGGTAACTTCGTCACTATGTCAGGGAACACGAAGGTAACTTCGTCACTATGTCAGGGAACACGAAGATAACTTCGTCACTATGTCAGAGAACACGAAGGTAACTTCGTCACTATGTGAGGGAACACGAAGGTAACTTCGTCACTATGTCAGGGAACACGAAGGTAACTTCGTCACTATGTCAGGGAACACAAAGGTAACTTCGTCACTATGTGAGGGAACACGAAGGTAACTTCGTCACTATGTCAGGGAACATGAAGGTAACTTTGTCACTATGTGAGGGAACACAAAGGTAACTTTGTCTCTATGTGAGGGAACACGAAGGTAACTTCGTCTCTATGTCAGGGAACACAAAGGTAACTTCGTCACTATGTCAGGGAACACGAAGGTAACTTCGTCACTATGTCAGGGAACACGAAGGTAACTTCGTCACTATGTCAGGGAACACGAAGGTAACTTCGTCACTATGTCAGGGAACACGAAGGTAACTTCGTCACTATGTGAGGGAACACGAAGGTAACTTCGTCACTATGTCAGGGAACACGAAGGTAACTTTGTCACTATGTCAGGGAACACGAAGGTAACTTCGTCACTATGGACTGACGGCTTCGGGCCGGGTAATATTGCACTTTATCAGCGTGATTGCACAGTACAGTTGACATTATATATTTGCACATAATTCATACTAATTATTGAGCGGAGTACTTTTAACTGATTAAACCGTATTGATTGGAATGTCGTCTGGCAGGTGCTGGTCGGGTCCTCGGCTCCGCCTGGAAAGATAGGGGCGTTTGCGAGAGCGCCGAGAGTAGTTATGCTGGTGTAAGGATGACAGCGGTTGAGAGTAATCAGGGTGCAAATAATATGTTGTCTGTGGCTGATGATTGTGTGCACCTGGTGTCCTGTGTTGTCTCCTCCCCCCTCACCTGTGTCTTGTTAGTATGTGTGTATTTAGGTGCTGTTTCCTTGTAACTTGGTGTGTGTGAGATCCTTGTGGCTGCAGGATGTGTGCAAGGAGAACAGCAGGATTGAGGCTGTGAATTTTGTGCACATGATTTTAATAAATGCCCACGTCGGGTTATATTTTTGGACGTTCTGCCTCTGCCTCCTTGCTTGGTCTGGGCCGCTCAACGGTCAGTCTCACAGACATAAAGGAGTGAGAGACGTCTAACAGTGCGATGTCCTTAATAGAAACTAACATTCTGAACACGAAGGTAACTTTGTCACTATGTCAGGGAACACGAAGGTAACTTCGTCACTATGTGAGGGAACACGAAGGTAACTTCGTCACTATGTGAGGGAACACGAAGGTAACTTCGTCTCTATGTGAGGGAACACGAAGGTAACTTCAAGCGACTTTGTTACCCACTTTGAAAAAAAGGTTAATGATATTCGCTCTTCTTTTTCTGACTCACCTTTACTCACCGCTGGGTCACCAGACCTTCCTTCCACCAACACACTAACCTCCTTTTCCCCCTCTCTCTCCAAGTGAGGTTCTTACCCTCATTACCTCTGCCCGCCCTACCACCTGTCCTCTGGACCCTATCCCTTCAAACCTCCTTCAGACTATCGCTCCTGATATTCTACCGTTTCTCACCCATTTCATCAACACTTCTCTAACTTCTGGTCACTTTCCAAACAGTCTCAAGGAGGCAAGAGTAAACCCTCTCCTAAAGAAACCCACTCTCAACCCGTCTGATGTTATAAACTACAGGCCTGTCTCTCTCCTCCCGTTCCTGTCTAAATCACTTGAACGCGCTGTCTTTAAACAACTCTCCTGTTATCTCAATCAGAACAACCTTCTGGATCCGCACCAGTCTGGTTTCAAGGCAGGTCACTCCACAGAAACTGCTCTCATTGCTGTCACGGAGGAAACTGCACACTGCCAAAACTGCATCCCTCTCCTCTGTCATCATCCTGTTGGACCTGTCTGCTGCATTCGACACGGTGAATCATCAGATCCTCCTTCGCACTCTCCAAAAACTTGGAGTTTCAGGCTCTGCACTTTCCCTCCTCACCTCATACCTGAAAGACCGTACCTACAGGGTGACTTGGAGAGGGTCTGAGTCCGACCCTTGTCCAATTAACTACGGGGGTCCCTCAGGGCTCTGTTCTTGGTCCCCTCCTCTTCTCCTTGTACACAAACTCGCTCGGATCAGTCATTAGCCCGCATGGTTTTTCTTACCACTGCTACGCTGACGACACCCAATTAATTCTGTCCTTTCCCCGCTCAGAGACCCAGGTCGTCGCACGCATCTCTGCTTGTCTAGCTGACATCTCTTTGTGGATGTCTGCTCACCACCTCAAGCTCAACCTTGACAAGACTGAGCTGCTCTTCCTCCCGGGAAAAGATTGTCCAACTCTTGACCTGACAATCAACATCGGCACCTCAGTTGTTTCCCCGACTCAGACTGCAAGGAATCTGGGTGTGACCCTAGATAACAACCTGTCCTTCACTGCAAACATCGCTGCTACAACCCGCTGCTGCAGATACACGCTTTACAACATCAGGAAGATACGTCCCCAGCTGACTCAGAAAGCGACTCAGGTTCTGGTCCAGGCTCTCGTCATCTCACGCCTAGACTACTGCAACTCCCTCCTGGCTGGTCTACCTGCATGTGCCATCCGACCTCTGCAGCTCATCCAGAATGCAGCGGCTCGTCTGGTCTTCAACCTTCCTAAATTCTCCACACCACTCCGCTCCTCCGCTCCCTTCACTGGCTTCCGGTAACTGCTAGAATCCACTTCAAGACACTGGTACTTGCTTACCGTGCTGCGAATGGATCTGGCCCTTCCTACATCCAGGACATGGTTAAACCGTACACCCCAGCGCGTGCACTACGCTCTGCATCAGCCAAACGACTCGTTGCGCCCTCGCTGCGAGGGGGACCCAAGTTCCCATCGGCGAAAACACGTGGGTTTGCTGTCCTGGCTCCAAGATGGTGGAATGAGCTCCCCATTGACATCAGGACGGCAGATAGCTTGCTCATCTTCCGGCGCAAACTGAAAACTCATCTCTTTCGACTCCACTTCGAGCGTTAGAACGATTAACGAAGCACTTTTATACCAATAAAGGACTGGCTTACCTAAGCCAGTTGAGTAGCACTTGAAATGTTTGGCTCTATGAAACCTGATATACTTATATGATTCTGTTTTCTTCAAGGTTGTGTCTTCCTGGTCGAATGTACTTATTGTAAGTCGCTTTGGACAAAAGCGTCAGCTAAATGCAATGTAATGTAATGTAACTTCGTCACTATGTGAGGGAACACGAAGGTAACTTCGTCACTATGTGAGGGAACACGAAGGTAACTTTGTCACTATGTCAGGGAACACGAAGGTAACTTTGTCACTATGTCAGGGAACACGAAGGTAAATTCGTCACTATGTCAGGGAACACGAAGGTAACTTTGTCACTATGTGAGGGAACACGAAGGTAACTTTGTCACTATGTCAGGGAACACGAAGGTAACTTTGTCACTATGTCAGGGAACACGAAGGTAACTTCGTCACTATGTCAGGGAACACGAAGGTAACTTCATCACTATGTCAGGGAACACGAAGGTAACTTTGTCACTATGTCAGGGAACACGAAGGTAACTTTGTCACTATGTCAGGGAACACGAAGGTAACTTCGTCACTATGTCAGGGAACACGAAGGTAACTTCATCACTATGTCAGGGAACACGAAGGTAACTTCGTCACTATGTGAGGGAACACGAAGGTAACTTCGTCACTATGTCAGGGAACACGAAGGTAACTTAGTCACTATGTCAGGGAACACGAAGGTAACTTCGTCACTATGTCAGGGAACACGAAGGTAACTTTGTCACTATGTCAGGGAACACGAAGGTAACTTCGTCACTATGTCAGGGAACACGAAGGTAACTTTGTCACTATGTCAGGGAACACGAAGGTAACTTCGTCACTATGGACTGACGGCTTCGGGCCGGGTAATATTGCACTTTATCAGCGTGATTGCACAGTACAGTTGACATTATATATTTGCACATAATTCATACTAATTATTGAGCGAGTACTTTTTAACTGATTAAACCGTATTGATTGGAATGTCGTCTGGCAGGTGCTGGTCGGGTCCTCGGCTCCGCCTGGAAAGATAGGGGCGTTTGCGAGAGCGCCGAGAGTAGTTATGCTGGTGTAAGAATGACAGCGGTTGAGAGTAATCAGGGTGCAAATAATATGTTGTCTGTGGCTGATGATTGTGTGCACCTGGTGTCCTGTGTTGTCTCCTCCCCCCTCACCTGTGTCTTGTTAGTATGTGTGTATTTAGGTGCTGTTTCCTTGTAACTTGGTGTGTGTGAGATCCTTGTGGCTGCAGGATGTGTGCAAGGAGAACAGCAGGATTGAGGCTGTGAATTTTGTGCACATGATTTTAATAAATGCCCACGTCGGGTTATATTTTTGGACCTTCTGCCTCTGCCTCCTTGCTTGGTCTGGGCCGCTCAACGGTCAGTCTCACAGACATAAAGGAGTGAGAGACGTCTAACAGTGCGATGTCCTTAATAGAAACTAACATTCTGAATAATACAGAAAGAAAACCTTTGAGCTTCACCACAGGATGAGCGCTGAGTGAGAGGTGTCAAAGTGAATGTAGTGTAAATACGGTGTTTAACAGGTGCCAACACTCAAGAGCCAACATCTCTCCCCAAGCTTTCAGAAAGGATGCTGATATAAAAACCCAAGTGTTCCAGCAACAACTCATGCAGCGTTTAGAGAAAACTCAGCAGCTTGAGGAGACATGGCAGCGTTTAGAGAGCATCCAGCAGCTTGAGGAGACATGGCAGCGTTTAGAGAACATCCAGCAGCTTGAGGAGACATGGCAGCGTTTAGAGAACATCCAGCAGCTTGAGGAGACATGGCAGCGTTTAGAGAAAACTCAGCAGCTTGAGGAGACATGGCAGCGTTTAGAGAGCATCCAGCAGCTTGAGGAGACATGGCAGCGTTTAGAGAAAACTCAGCAGCTTGAGGAGACATGGCAGCGTTTAGAGAACATCCAGCAGCTTGAGGAGACATGGCAGCGTTTAGAGAACATCCAGCAGCTTGAGGAGACATGGCAGCGTTTAGAGAACATCCAGCAGCTTGAGGAGACATGGCAGCGTTTAGAGAACATCCAGCAGCTTGAGGAGACATGGCAGCGTTTAGAGAACATCCAGCAGCTTGAGGAGACATGGCAGCGTTTAGAGAACATCCAGCAGCTTGAGGAGACATGGCAGCGTTTAGAGAACATCCAGCAGCTTGAGGAGACATGGCAGCGTTT